AGAGGGAGAGTTGCAGGAGGACAGTGACCCCTCAGGCAAGCCAAGGCCCACAGAGGCTGGGAGGAGCGTGCCACAGGAGACATGGAGGCTCAGGAGACATGGAGACGCAGGAGACACGGAGACGCAGGAGAGATGGAGGCTCAGGAGACATGGAGGCGCAGGAGACATGGAGGCTCAGGAGAGATGGAGGCGCAGGATCGAGGAAGGAGGGGACAGAAATACAGAGCAGGAGCTGGCAGAGGGAGAATGTACAGGAGCCACTGTGACGACTCTTAGATTCCTGCGGAATGGAAAGCTGGGAACCTCTCTGCTGACAACCAGAAATAATAGAAAAGTGATTGAAATCTTTACTTCATCTCTTAAAAACTGCCGTAGTAGAGCAGGCTTATTCACAGCACAGCAGAGCTGCCTGAGGCCCTCACTCTCTCCCCTGTGCACAGCAGGAGATTCTCAAAGATTTCTTCCCTGTTCAGCGGCTTGTCTCTCTCTGACTCTCCCCCTGCAAGTATCAATTCTTCATCCACCTGTGATCCTTGGTCCTTTCTATCACCTCAGTCAAGGTGATGAATATATCCATCATGCCCAAAAGTTTCCTCGGCCCCTCTGCAGCTCCTGCCTCCTGCCTCTTCCCTGCTTTCTCCCACTATAAATTAGTTTGCATTTTCTTGAGTTCTATGTGGATGGAATCATATAGCATGTACTCTTCTATAGAATGGCTTCTATCACCCATATGCTATATCATCCCTTGTTATTGCTGAGTAGTAGTCCATTGTATATATGTACCACTAGACTTTACTCTGATGGTTAGGGATGCAGGACCCAGAGAGGGAATGAAATATGACCAGTACAGGACCTTAACAAAAATCCAGAATGGGGCGGGAGGAGTGCCATATTTCCCTAAAACACAGATGCAATTTGCACTGTGAAAGAACGAAGCTGCCATGATCACATAACTGATCAAATAAAACTGTGTTTGTTCCAATCTCCACCTCCAGATCTGATCAGATTCCAGCCATACAGGGAAGTGGGGCAGCTTAGCAGGCATTACCTCTGGGGGGATTCAGAGAAATGATTTGATTGCTGGCCTTTTCTGCCCTAAACCCTTGAAGAAGTCTGGAATTGAGGAAAGAAGACCCCCACGTTATTTATGAGTATAAAATGACTTTTAGTTGTAGCAAGTTGGACCAAATGAAACAAAGGACTTTAAAACGTTTTGTAAATTGTAAAGCACAAATCAAAGGCAAAGCCTTCTTTTCCGTCAGAAACCACCTCAGGATTTATTTTGTGCTCCGATTAAAATTTAACGTCGAAGGTCGCTGCTCCAGGAAAAGCCAAACCAAGCCAAACAAAAAAGGGACTTAGAGAACCATCAGTGCGATAATTCAAAGAAGTCATAATGTTATATCATAATCAGCAACTGTGTGTACCTCTCTGTAGGAGGAGACTTAATGTTCTTTGGGTCCATGATAAATCCCACAGAACTAGTTGTGTGGCTCCAACCTTCTATAGCAACCTAAACAGACGATGGAGGCTTTCTTTCCATCTATACCTACTCAGCCATTTTGTATCAAGCTTCTATCCTGTCCAGAATCCTAGGGTGTCCCCAGTTTGGTTGGGCCCCAGGAACAACAGCCTAAAGAATTCTGAGACTTTGAGACGATATTCTCGGCCGCCCCTGCAACACCCCCGACCAGTATTACCTTTAGAGCCTTGCTCCCCGAAGTATGGGCTGCAGATTGGCTGTATCTGAATCACCTGGTAATTTGCTAGAAATGCAAATTCTTGACTCCCTCCCTCCACCCTCCCATTGGAATCTGCACGTTAACAAGATCCCCGGGGGCTTGTATCCACATGAAAATATGAGAAGCTCTGGTCTAGACAGTCGTTCTTCAACTTCAGCATGTGCCTCAGAATCACCTGGGAAGCAGGTGCTGCTGCTGGACTTATCTAGGGACCACAGTCTGAGAACCACTGCTCTGGCTCTAGAGCTGGATGATTACAGAGATCAAGTGGATCCTTTCTCATTTACTGAGTATGATGGAGAATTCCTACGTCTTCCAACTTGGCCCAAGACGAGAATCCAAGAAAGCTAACACGCCTCAGGGACCAGGACCATGGCCTTTTCCCTTGGGTTGTTTTAATATTGCCTCCTGTTTAAACAGAGCTGTGGACTAGAGGTTCTGGGGCCTCTGTACCAAATTTATGGCAGAGGCTCCATCCGGGAATGTGTTTTCCTCGCCTTTAAAACAAACGGAGCCTGAGGTTATACAACTGAGAGCCATGCTACTGGGAGGTGAGTCTTTGAGAATGGGATAGGACAGATTGGTGACCCTGCACTGCCCGTCTGTGGAGTGTTCCTTATAGAAACCCTTTGAGGCTGAGGCTTTTGTTTTTGAGTCCTGTTTGGGAATGCTCCAAGCTCTCAATCCACCTGTGCCGTGCAACAGCCATATACTTTGGTACAGACTCACATTGTGAAACACATCAAGGTCAAGCACAGTTCCAGGACTGCTAACGAAATCTGTACACTCTTGGGTCAGGACTGCTGCCTTTGTATTATGAAGATACACCTCAATGCATAGAAAAGTGACCTCAACCAGAGAGGAACACAAAAGCCATTCTGAATAGGGAGGTGAGTGTTGACTTGTAAGAGGTTGGTCAGCTCTACCCCAACTGCCCATCAGATGGGAGGCAGCAAACTGTTTTCACCAAGACTGAATCTCACAAATGATAAATTTACATCATATAGAAGCTTCAAATAGAAATAACTGTCATTGTAGAATGCTGCTTATATGCCAGGGTCTGTGCTAAGTATTTACAAGTATTACTTCAATCCTAGCTATGAGGTTAATATCACTGTTATCCTCATTTTACAGGTGTGGAAACTAAGAAATGGAATTACTGCATATTTTGCCCAAGGTTACAAAGGCAGTTTGGCATTCACACCTGTGCTCTTGACCACGACCTTGCGTGTCAGGCTACAGAACAACATCTTGTTGTGGGTGGGAAAGAGGCGACCCACTGTGCACAAA